GCCTTCTCTTCTCACTAATTCCAATGATGAGTCTTTATCTTGTGGACCATTAGTTCATTTATTGGAATACGGACACTTTTCTAGTGCATTATTCTCCTTGAAAAATTGTTTTATAAAATAAGTCAAGTGAAGGGAGAATATGCAGTAAGGCTTTTCTGCTTGGTATATGTAAAGTAACTGTGCAGATGTTTAGGTGAAGAAAGGCAGGGAGAAAAAAGAATGCTTTGTTTCAGGATAAATAAACAGAATGAGAGAAGTGAGATAGCTAAAAAAAGAGGCCAGATGAAAAATACAAGAGTTTTGATTTGCAAAGTTTGGCATACATACATTTATAAGATGATCTGAAGAGCTTATGTTGCTATAAATAGGAGACCATGAATTAATAAAGTCTCAACTCTATTTGAATGGGTGGAGAAGAGCCCATCTCTTCATGGAGATCAGTGTCCATGAAAGTGGAAATGGTCAAAAAAATTCTCAGGGTCAAGCCAGCAGGTGGCATGGTGATTAAGATGCTAGGCTTCCACATGCTTGACTGCGGTTCAAGTCCTGGACCTAGTGGCTTGTTTTCTCACTTTCTTTCTCTCTTTCTGGTGAGTACATGTGTCCTATAGCAAATTGAAAAAAAAAAAATAAATAATTATTAAAACATAACAAAAACAACAAAAGTTATTAGGGTCAAATAACCTCATAGGGGGATTTACTGAAGAAAGTGTAGGTTGGATGAGAGCTAAGATCATGGGCAATGGGGGATGGATAAAAGGAGGAGCACAGGGGAGATTGAGAGACGGTATGAAAAATGGGTCATGGAGTTAGCTTATGGCATGGTGCTTAGAGTGGCTGAATCCCACATGGCCAACCATGTAATTCAGTCCCAGACCTGGTGGCTCAAAAAACATACTAGATGTGTGTACATGTGTGCCCAAAATCCCCAAAGGAAAGAAAGTGAAGGAGAAAGGATTGTGGTGTGGCTATTCTCCATGGGATGCTTTCTCATGTCCCTACCCCCTCGCCCCCAGTGAGTGCCCATGTCCTCTGGTAAAATTTTAAAGAAAGAAAAAAGAAAAATGAGTTATAGTTTTCCATGTCCTCAATATGGTAAACTGGATATTGGAAAAAACCCTCCCAATTTTGTAATATACTTAAAAATGCTAATTTATTAGGTAGTTGGAAAAAATCATGATGCATTTCTGCATAGAAAAACAAAAATATTTGTCATGATTTTTTTTATACAACCCAAAGAAATACATTCTAATAGATCAAAATTAACACGTAGCTGTACTGTCAAAAAAGTAAGAAAAATCTTCTGAGGCCAAAGATAAGGCAAAGGCATATTTAAGTGCTCATTTAACTCTCTGATTCCTATTTTTTGCTTTCTCTTTATTCCCAGAAAAAGCCTGGGAACCTAAAGAGAAATGATGTTTCAGTGAAAGGCTAAACCAGAATGAAAAATTTCCTAAAGAAAATAAGAAGGAAAGATGTCTCTCTAAGCCTTGGCTATGAGTGAAGGGGTGAGGGGGAGGACATCTCCTGAGATCTGTAATTACAAGCCAATCCTCTTGCAGATTTGGAGTTCCACATTATCAAATTTAATCAGAATGGTCTGAAGAGTCCTAATCTAGAAAATCAGTTCAAAGTGTTCCTAGATGACAAGATCTCTGTTTACTTAGCAGTTGTGGACACAGGTCCTGTCTAAATAAACACAATGAACATTGAGCCTATAATACACACACACACATGCAGACACATACATACAAGATACTATGAGTGAGAGTCAGCAGAAATAATAAATAGCAGAAATAGATATGCTGAGATTTTAGATAGCAGAATGAACAGATGTAAAAAACAAGTATATATAGTATGTGTAAAGAAAATAAAAGAATGAATTAAAAGCATGAGTAAGGTAACTGTCAGAAGTGTTAGAAAAATTTCGAAGATAATCAGAACTGTAGAAGTAAAATATAAAATACTTAAAATTTAAAATTCAATAGCTGCATTACACAATACATTAAACATAACTTGAGGGAATTAGAAAAATAAAAATAAAGAGAGGCCAGCAGGTGGTATAGTGGTTAAGGTGCTGGACTCCCACATGGTCGACCACAGTTCAAGTCCCAGACGTTGTGGCTTGAAACTCATGCCAGGCGTGTGTGCATGCATGCCCAAATCCCAAAGAGGAGAATAGAGGAGAAGGGATCGCACCCCTGGGTGGTGAGTTCTCACTTTTTCTTTCTGTTTCTCTGGTAAGCACACACGTCCTATAGCAAAAAATACTCTCTAGAAAAAACTTAGAAATAAAGAATTAACCAGGAACTTGGGGTAGGATTTAGGAGATATTGGTCAACGGATACGAAATTTTAGTTGGGAAGAATAAGTTCAAGAGATCTTTGTACAACATTGTGACTACAGTTAATGAAAATGTGTTGTATTCTGAGGTAATGCATATGTTAACTTGCTGTATTGAACCATAATGTATACATTTTTTCAAAATGTCATATTGTACACAATAAATACATACAATTTTATTTACCAAATACAAGATGAATGCATTTAAATTTTTCTTTAAATTTTTTATTTTTTTTGGAGAGGTTTTTTGCTATAGGGCGCGTGTGCTCGCCAGAAAGAGAGAGAGACAGAGAGATAGAAAGCGAGAAATCACCCCCCCCAGGGGGGATGGCCACACCGCAATCCCTTCTCCTCCATTCTCCTCTTGGGATCTTGGGCAGGCATGCACACGCACCCGGTGTGAGTTTAAGCCACCAGGTCCAGGACGCAAAACATGGTCTACTACATGGGAGTCCAGCGACATAGCCATTACGCTAACTGCTGGTTCCGAATGCATTTTTTTATTAGAGAAAATTTTTTCCTGTAGAGAATGTGTGCTTGCCAGAGAGACAGACAGACAGACAGAAAGTGAGAAATCATCCCTCCCACACCCAGAGGCTATAGCCACACTGCAGTCCCTTCTCCTCCATTCTCCTCTTGGGGTTCTGGGCATGCATGTATATGTGCTCGATGTGAGTTTCAAGTCTCTGGGTATGGGGCTCAAACCACAATCAGCCATGTGGGAATCCAGTGATGTAACCATTATGCCATCTGTTGATCACAATGAATGCATTTTTTAAAAAAGAATGATTTATTTAATTTTAGTTATTATTATTTTAACTTGACCAGAGAGAGAGAAAGAGAGAGAGAAAGCGAGAAAGCAAGCCTACAAGTCCAAGACTCATACACCAGCTGGCTATATGGGAGTCAACCACCACCCCAACTCCCTGCATTTTTTTTTAAGAGAGATTTTTGCTATAGGGTGCGTGCTCTCACTGGAGCGACAGAGAGACAGAAAGCAAGAAATCACCCCTCAGGGAGGATTACCATGCTGCAATCCCTTCTCCTCTATTCTCCTCTCCTGATTTGGGCATACATGCCTGGCATGAATGTAAGCCATCTGGTATGGGACCCAAACCACGGTGGACCATGCGGGAGTCCAATGATGTAACCATCATGGCATCTACTGGTCCCTGAATACATTTTTTTTTAAAGGAGAAGAAATCACCTGGAATTTCTCACACAAAAAAAATTACAGAGATTAGAGAAAAGAAAAATTAAGAGACGTGGATAATAGAATAAGAAAGCCTATTGCATATTTAATCAGAGTTCCAGAAGAGGAAATGCAAAGAAATGTTTGAAGCAACAAAAGCTGATAACTTTCTAGAATTGAAGGGAGCTAGAAATCCTCAGATTTAGGATATAAATCAAATTCTAAGGATGACAACTTATAAAAAAAATTCACAACTACAGAAGACTAGTCATATTGAGTAAGATCCAAGTTAATGAAAAGTCCTAAAAATCATCAGAGGGAATGATAACCAATTAAGAAATATTTGTGAGAGGGGCCAGCAGGTGGTGTGGTGGTTAAGGGGGCTGGACTCGCACATGGTCAACCATGGTTCGAGTCCTGGACCTTGCGGCTTGCCTTCTCACTCCCCCCCGCCCTCTCTCTCTCTCTCTCTCTCTCTCACACACACACACACACACACACACACACACACACACTCTGTCCCTCTCTGATCAAATTAAAATAAATAAATAACAAAATTTAATAAAATAATTCTTTAAAAAAGGAGACACTTGTCAAAGTTATAGTTGATTTTTCAATAGCAACAGTGGAGTTAGAGACTGTGAAATTACCTCTTCAAAGCACTGAGAAGAAATGGTGATTAATCTGGGATTGTATACCCAAAGAAATTTATTTTTCAAGAAAGAAGGAAAACAAAGATATTTCATACAAAGAACTATTGAGAGTCAACTACGAGCTAATCTTCAACAAAGGAACTTCTGAAGGATATACTTAAGAGGGAAAAAAAACTTAGAACAAAAGGTTTTAATTGAAGTGCAAAAATAAATGGTTTTTAAGTATATGATATTAATGTCAATTTAGAGGATTTAAATACAACATGAAACCAAAATATCAGACAATAAGAGCATATAACTTGGTCAGAATGAAAATCAGAGTCAAAGTATTCTTAGATATCTTATTGTTTTGGTTAAGAATACAATATTAATTTTAAATTTATAAGCAAATTCTTCTCCTATCAAGCCACCAAATGAAAATGTAACATAGCCAACTCTTTGCAGCCTGTGAGACTGTAAGCACAGAGTAAGTGAAATAGTATTCAGACAATAACCTGCAGTAAATGTGAGATAATAAACATGAATTGTTTTATGCAGTTATCTTGCACACAGCAATAGAATATGAATATGATTTGTTAAATGTCTGTCTCTTCTATTAGGCTCTGAGGTCTGGGATGATGTCTGTCTTGTACTATTGAGTCATCGTCATCTGACAAATACCTGGCCCAATTTGTGGTCAATAAATATATGATTACTGATTAATTGAATGAAAAAGGATGAGACTTGCAGGTGGCATGGTGATTAAGGTGCTGGACTCCCACATGGCCAGCCATGGTTTGAGTCCTGGACCTGGTGGCTTGTTTCTCACTTTCCCTTTCCCAAATAAAAAATAATAATAACAACAAATTGAATTAAATAAATAATTATTTTTAAAAAAATCTAATGCAAATGGAGGCAACTAGGAGTTAGGATTTGAACCCTTTATTGACTTGTATTCATATTTCTAATTGCCATCTTTAAAGAATAAGTAATGTTCTTATGAGAAGGGACTGTAACTCCTTTATTATCTTTGAGGAAAATAAAGCACAAAGACTTTTGGCATTTTGCCCTACCCAGGTGGTAAGTGAAGAATTGCTTGCATCTAGGATTGACAAAACTGGACTTAAGTCTTGGTTCTGGGTCAGCAGGTGGCATGAGAGTTAAGCCACTGGATCCTCCATGGCTGACTGTGTGGGAGTCCCAGACTTGGTGGTTTGAAAATTATGCTGGACGCATGTGCATACATGCTCAAAATCCTGAGAGAAAAATGGAAGAGAAGGGATTGCAGTGTGGCCGTCTCCCGTGGGAACTAATTTCTCACTCTCTCTTTCTCTTTCTGTCTCTCACTGGTGAGCATGCACACCCTATAACAGAACTTAAAAAAAAGTTTTTTTGTTGTTGTTGTTGTCTTCTCAACCTGAAGGGCAAAGATGAGTCTGAATGCGGTAAGTTAACATGTGGGCAGAGAGAAGCTTGCAAAGGCATTATAATAGGATTGTACAGACAACTTTCAGAACTAAAATTATATTTGTGCTTGTTTTTTAGCACCTTGAAGCGGGCCTTGGAAGTCTTCAAGCAACGTAAGTGATTTTTAAAAAATACATGTGTTGCCCATGTAAGCTCTGTGTTTGTCAACAAAGGTGGATTTTAATTTGAAGAGCAATTTCATATTGTAATAAAACAATTGGAGCAACTTCTTTTTTTTTTTTAAGAATTACTTTATTTAGGGTTAGGGTTTAGGGTTAGGGTTAGGATTAAGATTAGGGTTAGGGTAAAAAAAAATGAGAAATAAATAGAATTATTTTATTTAAATTTATTTATTTATTTACAATTTGACCAGAGAGATGGAGAGAGAGAGAGAGAGAAATCAAGAAAGCAAGCTGCCAGGTCTGGGACTTGAACCACGGTCAGCCATGTGAGAGTCCAGTGCCCTTAACCATACACCTGCCGGCCACTGAGCAACTTCTTTTTTTTTTTTTTTTTTTTTTTTTTGGAGTGGTTTTT